CAACGTGTCCCCTCACCGCTGGATCTGCTGCAGACACGGCACCACCAGCACCCTCCCCCCAGCCACCATGACAGGGGGGCTGCGGCAGAAACCTGTGGGGACACAGAAGTAAATGGCGACCCAGGAATCCCGGGGCAGGGAGGGGGATACGACACCCAGGAGTCTGGGGGGGGGGGCGACGGCGACTCACCCGACACCACCATGGCCTCGTTGGGGCCACACGTGAAGAACATCTCGGCGGGGATCTGCGGGGAGACCCCGAAATGAGACCGGGGGAGCCGGCACCCCCCCCGTCGCCTCAGCCGCTCCGGTCCTCCCGCTGAGGCGCGGCCCCACCCACCGCGGAGCCTCCACGATCCCGACAACCTCCGCGGCAGAGCCGACTTCCCTCCCTTTCTCCCCGTTCTGCCCGGCGACCCGGGACGTCACGAGTTGCTCGCCTCTCTATTGGCCGCGCCGCCAAAGGCGGGAAAGGTGGTCTACGGCTCTGTGAGGAGAGAGGGACGCCATGTTGTGGCCGGACGGGTTGGGAGTGGGGTGGGCCGGTGAGTCGGGGTGGGATGAAACGGTACTGGCGGAGGAGAATGTTATTGTAGGGTCTCCTGGGGCCGTGCACAAACACTTGCAGAGACCTCCCTGGTGCTGGGGCGGGGAAGGGGGTGGAATGTTACTGTAGGGGGCTTGGGGGCACTTTACCCCCACGGGCACAGTTACTGTTTCCACCAAATATATTGTTAGCAAACCCAGCTGCGTTTTAATGCTGTTTCACCCACATCTGCAGTTCCCTCTGGGGTCGCATCTGAGCTTCGGGGTGACTCGGCACTTTGAAACACGGTCTGCAGCTGGGTGCTGTTGGTCTGCGTCTCCAGAAATGCAAGCGGACCCGGTGTCCCCCGCCACTTTCGTCGCGCTGCGGCTCTCCACCAGGTTGGTCTTGCTCCTAGCAGAACTTGGGGGTCAGTCACGGCAGAATAAGGTGGCGATTTTGTCCTTGGGTGGGGGGTGGCTGGAGCTTGTGCTTGTTGGGGATGTGAAGGTCAAAGGTGACCTGGGCTACAGTGACCGTGAGGTGGCAGAGCTCAGGATCCTGAGGGCGAAGAGGGTGAAAAGCAAGGTCGCAACCCTGGACTTCAGGAGAGCACTTTGACTTCTTCAAAGATCTGCTTGGAAGAATCCTGTGGGATAAGATCATGGAGGGAAGGATGTTACCAAAATAGATTTGCTTGTGTTTTTCTTTTCTTCTAGTTCATACCTGGGTATCAGAAAGAAGGTAGCAGAAGTACACACTAGCTAAAACCCCCAGTTTGGCTTGGTGTTTTCTCACAGCAAACCCACTTGTACAGGCAAAGTCACTCTTGGTCAAGTTCTCTTGCACAGGGCTTTGAAGCCATCTTTACCTTGTAGCTTTTTCTTGTATAATAAGCAGAGGGCCCAAGAAAACTGGTTGATGTTCACAGATGACCTCTGTGTTTCCCATGTTCCACCCCCTTGCTCAAGAGACCACTTCCACTGGGGCTGGCAGAGCTGGAGGTGTCCATTTGCGCTTGTGGGGTGTAGCACCAAGTAATTTAAAGGCACACAACAAACACATACAGAAAAAGCAATAAATGTATCTCTACAATAATGCTTTGAATCATGTGCCCACCCATCCTGTCAGGGAATTAAACCACTCAGCCCACCAGGCACCACCAGTAGATTGTTTTGTTTGATGCATTAAGTCCTGGAGATGCTGAATGTCATCCTCTATGCTGGCTGATTCATCAGTTATGTTGAAGAAACACATGCCTTTGAAATCGAAGCAGTGTTTATGGTGTCAAAGGAGGAAATGGTCCACTGCCAATCAGTTTTGTAATGTTCATTGGTATGTGACCACTACCTACTCAGAAAAAGTAGCAATGAGGAACACTAATACCAAAATCACTTAGCATAGCATAATTCTGTAATACAGCTACTGGGATTGGCATGCCAATGAAGCACGTTGTCAAAAGATCTGCAGCTGTTAATCTTCCCTTAATAAAAAAGGCAGACGAGTTAGTTACAGTAGAGGCTAATGAAATCCAAGTATTTGCATGTTGATCTTGCGGAAATGTATGCAGGGCACATGCTTGTCGTACAAGATGACAAAGCACGACGAGCCAACCTGTGGTAAGGGAGGAAAACGGGAGTGTTGTCTCCTTGCAGTAATACATATGCTGTTGCTCCAGCTCTTTCAGCAAATATTGGTCCGGGTTTGAAAAGCTGATGTGGGGCAGTTGCCCACATGGATTGGAGAGCTATGGCTAGGTCTTTAAAGTCTGAGGGAGATAGGGCCCCTTTTATTTTGTCCCACCCTTTCACCAGGCCTTCCAGGTTGGGAGTGGGCAACCAGTCCATCACCTCCCTGGGGATGATTCCCTTTGAGATACCCTCTGTCCGCAGTGTATGTCTTTTATTGTCAGGAGGCCGTGTCAACCTCGTCGGAGGTGGGAGTCGAGAATCGCACAGGGGCTTAGGTTCTATTTCTCCATTCTCTTCCACCCTCCTGAAGTCTGCTTTAGATTTTATGTCTCCCTGAGTGGTGAATCCCATCCGTCTCCTGTAATTAATCAATTCCTGTGTTATTTCTCCCCATGTCATCTCTGGGGGGCCTCCCCTTCTTCAGGGTGCTCTCAAGCGATCTTGTAGTTGTACTGTATACAATTTCAAGGCATCAGGCAGTCCCCCTATAAGAGGATGCAAGCTTTCAGGGTCTGTCGCGTATTGCATGGGAGATGACTGTTGAGGAACCAGGAATCGATCGTGCATCAACTGGAGACAGGCAGTTTTTTGTGCACTCTCCAAAATGTGACCCACTGTAGGCGTTTTAATTGAAAAGGGGTCTCCCCTCTCCATAGGATCCAATCCACATGCCCAATATGCTACTCTTTGGGTCAGGGACCACAGCTTTCTATTGTCATCTGTAATTAGGAAAACTCCCAGACCCCAATATCCCCTTGCCTTATCCTTACTTAGCAGGATGCGGTCATCCCCAGCAAGGGATATTCTCCACATACACTCAGTTTCCATTTCTTGGGGTCCCTGGGAATATTTTTCCTGAATTTTAGCCAAATCAGTGGGCGAATAAGAGACAATGTGGGTGGTAACTTGTTGGGCTCCTCCTTGGCCACCATCCACAGTCTCGGCCTTAAATCAAAGGCTGCATAGTGACTTCCCCCATCCGAAGAGGAAACATTTCCCTTATCTATCCTAGGTCTTCAAAAGGATATGATTTTGATTCTTTTTCCCCATCAGAGTCTGCATCCACATTCTCTACACCAGTCTGGGAGCAAATTTCATCTAATTGCTCCCTTAATACCCTTTTCCACTCCAAAGCCTCCATCAGAGCAGTATGTAACCTCTGGTTAGTCACTCGCTCAGCGGCAAGTTGATCAGAGACACTTCTTGTCTCATTTTCCAAATGCTCCTGCAAAACCGTCGCTAAATCTTGAAAGGATTTTATCATCTTTCCTTCTGCTTGTCGGGTCACATGTTTGTTCCATGGTGCTGCCACAAGAATGGCTCCTAAAACCACACAAACCAATGTTATGCCAAGGGGGAAGAGTTGGGCATGGTAACCTTCTAATCTCTCCAGGAGAGAACTAGAGTCTACAGTCAGGTTTCCAAGGTGGGGCATAGGGGGAGTCATACCAAGGGGAAAGAGCTGTGCACTGTAGGCACTTAATCTCTCCAGGAGAGAAGTAGGTCTATGGTCGGTTCTCCCAGGGGGGAGCATAATGGGGACACAATTACAAGGATCAGATGTTTTTAGTAGTCCACTGGGGACTACCTCTACACATGGACCTCACAGGGAGACCGCAACAAAATCAGATTATTAAGTTCTCCGAGTGCCATCTCCCCTTGTGTATGACTCCTCTCAGAGAGGGGCCACAGTAAGGACCTAGTCCCAATGATTGCGTTAGCAACACCAAGGAAATCCTGCTGACTACGCCAAAAATGTCATGACCCGGACTGGACAGACCAGGGAGTCATGCTGAATTCGGAATTCCATTGGGCTAAATTAAGGTGAAACGACATCAAACAATCAGTTAAACATTTTATTCATGACAGAAGCAAACTGCATTTGGGAGGCATAACAGTAGGTGGCGTGGTTTCTTGCAACAGGAATAGGCATGGAACTATCTCCGTAACCCGTGGTAACCATATACATCAGTTTAGGGAATAAGGAGAGAAAAGGAAAAAGAAAGAGAACGATATCACTGGCCCTGGATCCAGCATTGGTTCAGCCGGCCGAGGGGTCCAGTTCCGGCGGGCTTGTGCACATGGGGCTTCAGTTCATGTGCTTTTACCATCTTTGCCCCTCCTTTGGGAGTGCACTTGAACTCCTTAGGCTAATTAGGTGCCCTGATCAGTTTGTGAGCCTTGGGGCTTGCGGGTCGTTTGGGGAGCAACCTCCCCATCCCTGCAGATGTGATCTTTCGCCATGCACGGTGAGCTGCCCTGCCCAGCCTATCCAAAGCAGCGTTATCAGAACAGGGAGCTGTGCACCCTCCGGCACGCCCTCCCCCTCCTGTTGCTGATGTCCAGTGCTGAACCGCTTCTCTTCACCTGTGGCTCCTTGTTAGGCAGAGTTCATGCAGAGTTCTTTGTTAGGCAGAACTTGCCCCACCACAATATTTGAGCCATTAACTCTTTCAGTCTCTAATACCCATACAGGGGACACTGGTGTGAGGGACAGTGGGAACAGGGGACACTGGGTGACTCTGGGTGGGGGGGTCCCGCGGGTGGGGTCCGGGGGTCCCGGGGATTGATGGGCTCCCGGGGGGGGGGGTCCCGCAGGTCCCCTGTGTCCCCCCCCCAGCCTCCGCCTTCTTCCAGCTCTTTCGCTTTATCCCAGTCTGTGGGAATGCAATCCGCCTGGCACCCAGAAATGTCCGAGGTGGCTCTAGGCTGACGTTGGAGGGAGGGTGGAGGAGGGAGGTAGCGGTGCCACTGGGGCGGGGCTTGAGTTGTTGTGGGGTTTGGGAGTCCACGCAGTTGCGGGGTCGGAGTGGAGCAGCGTGATGGGGCTGGGACTGGAGCTGGGGCTGCTGCTGGGGCTGCTGCTGGGGCTCCTCAGCGGGGCGGCGAGCGGTGAGCACAGCTGGGGATGCGGGAGCCCTGGGCACTGGGATCCCCCTAGACCGTCCTCTTGGCACCAGAAACCTGCCTGGGCACTGGGACCCCTTCAACCCCTCCCTTTCCTACCACCCCAGTCCCCCTCCCCAGTCACAGGGACCCCCTGGGAACACTCCCCCACACCTCCGGTTCCCTCTTCCCGGGGCCCCCCCCAGATCCTCCTTTTCTGAGAACCAGGACACCTCCCCCACCCTTCCTGCTCCCTTGGACCCTCCCTTAGATCTGCTTTCTTGAACTCTGGGACCTCCCTGGCCCCCCTTTCCCAGGCATCCCAGGTACCCCACCCCTTGGACACCTCTGGGACCCCCCTTTCCTTGATACCAGGACCCTGCTGGGCTCCCCTTCCCAGGAACCAGGACCCCCCTCCCACACATAACTCACTCCTCCACCAATCACATCCCCCCCTGAAGCTGTCCCCCCCCGCATCACCCCAGTCTGCTCCCCTTGGACCCCCACTCAGCCTCAGTGTCCACCCCTGGGACCCCTCACCCCTGTCTCCCCCCAGCCCCACTGTCCCCCACCTCTAACCACTCCCTGTGTCCCCACAGAATTGCACTCCCTGCGCTACTTCCACATGGCAGTGTCAGAGCCAAGCCCGGGAGTCCCCCAGTTTGTATCCATGGGGTACGTGGACGGGAACCTCATCTCACGCTACGACAGCGAGACGGGGAGGACGGTGCCCCGGGCAGACTGGATGGTGGACAACCTGGATCAGCAGCACTGGGATGGTGAGACCCAAATCGGACAGAGGAATCAGCAGGTTTACCGCATCAACCTGGACACACTGCGGGACCGCTACAACCAGAGCGGCAGTGAGTGTGGGGCTCTATGGGGCTGGGCTGGGGCTCCGTGGGACAGGATGGTTCCTTCCCCCTCCTGCTCCGAGATCCTGCTGTGCCCCACACTACTGCCCCGTGTTGTGCCGGCCCTTCCCTGCCTGGTGTCACTGTCAGAGGGCTCTCAACCACCCTGTCCCCCAGCCCAAGGGGGTCCCGGCTGCCCTGTCCCAGCCCCACAGTGCTTGGGATCCCCTGTCCTGGATCCAGGGGGGGCTTCTGGCCACCCCAGCCCAGCGCATCCCCCCACCACACACACACAGTGCCCAGGACCCCAGCCCAGGAGTGGCTGCCACGTCCCAGCCCCTCACCATCCCCACGGCAGTCGAGACCCCCAGAACCAGAGGGGCTCCCACCCCCAGTGTCCCAGGCCCTTGCCCTCCCCATGGTGCTCAGGCCCCCATCCCAGAGCCAGAGGGGCTTCCCCCACCCCATCCCATCTCCTTATCATCCCTGGCCCCAGCATTTGGGACCCAGCTCAGCCCCATGCTGTCCCAGGGTGCTGTGGGGCTGGGTGCCAGCCCAGCCACGTCCTGGGTGCAGGGGGTCTGCGTCATGGCTTTACGTGACACCCTGAGTGCTGTGGGCCCTGGGCAGGACGGTGGGCAGCTCTCGTGCTGGTACCTGATCCCCCCCAAGGGTCATGCAGGTTTGGGGCGGGGGGGTCCGTGCCCCACTGAAGGCCCAGGGCTGCAGCAGCCCCTCAGCCCCATTTCCCTGGTCGTGTTTCAGGGGCTCACACGCTGCAGCACATGCACGGCTGTGACATCCTGGAGGACGGCAGCACCAGGGGGTATCTGCAGGACGCCTATGATGGGAGGGATTTCATCGCCTTCGACTTGGACACGATGTCATTCACTGCAGCAGATGCGGTGGCGCAAATCACCAAGAGGAGGTGGGAGAAGGACGGGAGTGAAGCTGCACGGCGGAAGCACTACCTGCAGAACACCTGCATCGAGTGGCTGAGGAAATACGTGAGCTACGGGCGGGCCGTGCTGGAGAGGAAAGGTGAGGGCGAGACGGGGACCCTGGGGACGGGCTGCTGTGGGTGCGTGTGCCGGCTCTCACCGCCACCCCCTCCCCAGAGCCCCCCATGGTCCGAGTGTCAGGGAAGGAGGCCCACGGGATCCTGACCTTGTACTGCCGCGCTTACGGCTTCTACCCGCGGCCCATCACCGTTAGCTGGCTGAAGGACGGCGAGGTCAGGGACCAGGAGACCGAGCGGGGCAGCATCGCGCCCAACAGCGATGGCACCTACTACACCTGGGCCTCCATCGAGGCCCTTCCAGAGGAGAAGGACAAGTACCGGTGCCGCGTGGAGCACGCCAGCCTGCCCGAGCCCGGCCTCTTCATGTGGGGTGAGCCCGGTGGCCTTGGGCACGTGGAGCGGTGGTGGGCTGGGGTGGTTCCCCTTCCCCTCCTCATGGTCCTGCTCTCCCCCAGAGATGGAGTCCAACCTGCTCACCATCATCCTGGCGGTGGCCTTTGCCATCCTACTTACTGTTGTCGTCGCCGGATTCGTCTTCTGGAAGTACAAATCAGGTAAAGTGATGGGGCCGGCGAGGCAGAGGGGTGCGGGAGGAAGGCAGGGGCTGGGGGGCCGGAAGGGGCTGCGGGACTGAGCTGCTGTGCTCTGGGGAGCCTCTGAGCTTGGTGGCCACAGTGGATGCTGATGCCTCTTTCTCTCTGCAGGGAGGAAGAAGAAGGGTTGTGATCCGCCATCAGGTGAGTACCGGCAGCAGGTCCGGATCCAGCTGCTGCCCAGTGTCTGGGGTGTTCTTGCAGTTCGGGTTTCTGGCTTCTGCTGGCATTTCCCGATCCCCTGTCCTCCCAGTGCTGCCCCTCTTTAAATCCCTGTAGCGGGGACGTATGGAAGAGATTGTGTCTCCTCTCTGGTGCTCACGGCTCCATCCTGCTCTATCAGTGGCTTCAGCGTGGCCGTGGCTCCCGGGCCGGCTCCTGGCACGTGCACCGTGCCCGTAGCGAGCACGGGGCTGGCAGCTCACGGCTGTTTCTCCCTCACAGGCATGGACAGCGAATCTGGCAGCTCCACCAAAGGTATGGTGTGGGACCAGGGGGGATGGACGGGGCACCCCAGGTCTTTGTGCTCCACTGTGGGACTTGCAGCCGGAGCAACACTGGGCTACAGGAGAGGGACACCGAGACCCCCAGAGCAGCAGGTTGGGGACAGACAGGTTGCCCTGGGTGACGCTGTCTCTTCCTCTCGTCCCTGCAGGGCTCACCATCTAACTGCTCCACGAGGGGCCAGCACGTGGTTGGATTCGGCCCCCTGCTCTATTGCCGGCTGGACGCAGAGAGGTGCTGGAGGAGGCTGAGAGCTGCCTGCAGAGAGAGCTTGTCACGCTGCGCTTGCCCACCCCTGGCTGTGGTGGTGGCTCTTCTGGGTGGGTGAACATCCTATTTTCTGATACTTGGAGAGCTGCAATTATTACCAATGTTCTTTACTTTGGAGGTTGCAATTGATTTCTTCCGCATGTGTACGTTTCCTGGCTTTCACAATAAATGCTGGTCCCCATCCTGTGTCAGGCTGTGTCTCCTCACCCGATGCCTGGGCTGCGCTCACATCCTCGGGTCGAGGGCTGCGTTGGTTTTGGCTGGGATAGCGTTGATTTTCTTCATCGCAGTCCAGCGTGGTGCGGTGTTTAGGATTTGTGACCAGAACAGTGTTGGTAACACAGCGATGGATGTGAACAGTGTTGGCACAGCATCGAGGCCTTCTCTGTTTCTCA